ACCCTCCAGTTCTTTCAGATTAGCGATAATGGCTTCCCACTGCTGCTAGTCACTGGATGCTTTCCATCCCTTTTTTGCTCCCTCAACTCTGACTACATCTCTCTAAGTAATCACTTCATTGAAGGTCCTGGGATTGCATTCTGTTGTTTTCAGGACCCTAACTGGGACAGAGCCCAGCGTGTGTGAGCATTGAGCTAGTGTTCAGTTCACTGAGAGTATAATACAGAGGCTTTATGAATTAGCATCATAGTGTCCATAGCTATGACAGGGAACTGCAAAGTGTTAGAAGAGAAAACCAATGAACTGTTTTTAGAAAGAATCTAGGTAAAACAGTTCACCTTAAGCTAGAGAGAGTACTAATGTGACTTCAGAATACTAGTACCCTTTGACCTAGCAAGTAATCAGGTTGTTTTTTCTTCCTCCTATATTTCATCAAGAGGAACTGAAATCTTGTTTTGGGAAGCGACTGAGTTGGTCAGAACCATCCAGGTAATGAGATACCAGCTGTTTGTAGGTCAGAGTTCATTATTTCTAAACAACATGGGCAGACTTTAAACATTTATCAGCATCTTAATAAACATTAGTGACAGAGACTTGAATTCAAAGTTGTTCAATTTTTAAAACATTAATATTTATACTTAAAACATAAGGTAAAACGAACACTAACTTTGGTGAAGTAATCGGTAGAATTAGCAGAACAGTTTTAGATGGAGGGAGTCCAGAAGATGCTGCTATCAATTGCTTTGCAGTCATTTTGCATTTGCGTGATACCCTAGTTGAGCATATCTCCTTTGATTATAAAAATTATGTTATTAACCAGTGTTACTCCAGTAAATTAAAAAATATATTTTTAGTGATTTCAGAGTGGAAGGGAGAGGGAGAGAGAGAGCAACATCAATGATAAGATAGAATCACTGATTGGCTGCTTCCCACACCCCCTCCCCCCATCAGGGATCAAGCCCACAACCAGGGCATGTGCCCTAACTGGGAATCAAACCGTGGCTTCCTGGTTCATAGTTCGACACTCAACCACTGAGACACGCTGGCCAGGTCAATAAATTTAATACAAAATTTTTTTTAACTAAAAGAAATAAAAATTCCTTTTCCTTAAATTCAGTTGAATAGAAAGAGTCTGTTTTTTCTGTCTTTTAAAAATGTACACATCAACTCAAAACTCCCTTCTTTGTTTTTTAAAAAAACACACACAGGATAATCGTACTGGATCAGAGTGACTTGTCAGACTGACCGGAACTGGATCATAGATGGACTCCTGGTCCAAGTTTGAGCACCTGCTTGTGAGCTCCCTTCTCCCTGGTCTGCTTCAGTCACCATTAGAGTAATGGATCCCTAATTCACACTTTGTTCAGCTGGCACAATAGACATGAAGACTTTGGTCGTGTCTGTTTATAGCACATGTAACCATTTGTTTTTGTTTCTGTTTTTCAGAGATATATTTTGAGCTTTTATTTCAGCACAGCAGTTGTAATCATTTGTTTTCAGTTAGCTATCTGAAAAGTGAAAAGTGGTGTTGTTGACTGTAAAAATCTCTCATTGTGTTCAGAATGGCTTTGGTTTTATTGACATAGATTTTTGAAAACTTGTACTTCTGTTAAGTAATAAAATGTTTACTTTTAATAGCAGTTAGCTTTTAGCTGTGTAAGATGTGTTTATTTTAATTATTGGGAGAGAAAGCACCACAGCAGACAGGAAGAAGAAAAATTATCTATTTTCAGATTATATGAGCTTATATGTAGAAAACCCTAAGTATTCCACAAAAAAACCTGTTAGACTAAATGAGTTCAGCAAAGTAGCAGGATACAAAGGCAATACACAAAAATCAGTTGCATTTTCATGAACAATGAACAATCTGAAAGGAAAGTACAAAAACATTTACAAAGCATCCAAAAATAATAAAATACTTATTAATTTAACCAAAAAGATGAAACATTTATACTATGAAAACTTCAAAATATTGCTGGAAGAAATTAAAGATGACATAAATGAAAACACATCCCATATTTATATAATGGAAGACGATATTTTTAAAATGTCAGTACTACAGATCTACAGATATTGATCTACAGATTCAATATCAAAATCCCAATCCTAAAATTCCTATGAAAGTTTAGTGGACCCTGGATAGCCAAAATAATCTTGCAAAGGAAGAACAAAACTGGAGGACTCAGACTTCCTGGTAGCAAAACTATAGTAATAAAAACAATACGATATTGGCATAAAAACAGACCTGTAGATCAACACAATAGAAGAGAATCCAGAAATAACCCTTTCACATGTGGCCAAGTGATTTTTGACAAGGGTACCAAGACCTTGGGGAAAGGACCATATTTTAAACAATTGGTGCTGGGAAAACTGGGTGTCCACATGCAAAGAATGAAATTGGACCCTTATCTAACACCACGTACAAAAATTAACTCAAAATGGAATAAGGACCTACATGTAAGACCAAAAACAATAAAACTCTTAAATAAAACAGGATGAAAACTTTATGGCATTGGATTTGGCAATGATTTCTTGGATATGACACCAAAGGCACAGGCAACAAAAGAAAAAGTAGACATGTTGCACTTCATGAAAATTTAAAATTTCACTATCCACAGAGTAAAAAGGCAACCCATAGAATGGGAGAAAATATCTGCAAATCGACCAATGAACCAAGAGGTTGCTGGTTCAATTCCTATTTAGAACACATGCCCGGATCGTGGGCTCCATCCCCAGTAGGGGGCATGCAGGAGGCAGCTGACCAATGATGTTTCTATCTATTCTCTCTCCTTTCCTCTCTAAAAATCAATAAAAACATATTTTTAAAAATATTTGAAAACCACATATCTGATGAGGGATTAATCAGAAAACAGAGAACTCCTAAAACTCAACAAATGCACATTATAGTGTCATGGTTAAAGGTTATATATCAGTAAACCATCTTATTTAAAGTAGAATCTCATAGGAAAGCTTTATTCAAGTAAGCCAGTCTCAATTTTATGATAAGCTAGCAAATAACTATCCTATATAATAAAGTGGTAATGTGCAAGTTAACCCTCACGCCCTCACAAAGATGGCTGCCTACGACCAGGCTGCCAAGGGGATTAGTGAGGGATGACCAAATGACTAAACAAGCAGGCTGTGTGGGGTGACCAGGCCGACGGGGTTAGTGAGGGATGACCAAACAACTGAACAGCAGGCTGCATGGGGCAACTAGCCTGGCAGTGGGGGAAGTTTGGGGGTGACCAGGCCAGCAGGGGTGGCAGATGGGGGCAATTAGGCTGGCGGAGGGGGCCGTGAGGGGCAACTAGGCCAGTGGGGGGACAGTTGAGGGTGACCAGGCCGGCAGGGGGGCAGTTAGGTGTGACCAGGCTGGCAGAGGGGGGCAGTTGGGGGTGACTGGGGAGGCAGTTAAGGGCGATCAGGCCGACACGCAGAGGCAGTGAGGGGCAGTCAGGCTGGCATGCAGAGGCAGTGAGGGGCTATCAGGCCGGCAGGAGTCGGGGCAGTTAGGGGAGACCAGGCAGACAGGTGAGCGATTAGGAGCCAGTGGTCCAGGATTGTGAAAGGGATGTCCGGCTGCCGGTGTAGGCCCGATCCCGGAGACCATGAGGGGTCCTGGATTGGAGAGGGTGCAGGCTGGGTTGAGGGGACCCCTTCCTCGTGCGTGAGTTTCATGCACCAGGCCTCTAGTAAATGAATAAGAACAATCTTTACTTCAACCTGGTTTACCTGTAGTATCTTCAAAATATCTGACTTATAAAGGTTCTCCTACTTTTATCCTTTTCTATTTTTAAAAAAATTTATATATATATATATATATATATATATATATATATATATATATATATATATATAGACTAGCCTAGTGTTTTACATTCTAAGGTTTTGTATCAGTAGCTCAAAGTTTCTCAATTTATTGAGATCCCCACTACCTAAAAATGTGTGGTTTTTGTTTCATCTTTGTCTCTAGGCTGAATTTAAAGATCCAGAAACAATGAATCTGACCATATCAGAACTGTGATGACCCTTCAGAGTCAATAGGGAAATAGATGTTGGATATGGTAGGGTCTGTGTCAGAAAGAGAGAGAGACAGACAAAGACACAAAGAGAAACTTGTGAAAGGGAAAGATGAGTCTTGCTTATCCAAAATGGATATTCAAGTTGGAAAGTCACTCTTCAAATAAAGAAAGAACCAGAGGCCCAGCTGATCAGGATAGCTAAGAGAAGGATCGTGAGAAAGGGCACTAGCATTGGGCAATGCCCACCTACCAGTCAGTGGTTTCTAGATGAAGAAACCAAGGCTCAGGCAAGCCAAGTAACTTGTGCACAAGTAGCCACTTATGACTGAAACCAATAAATAACTCCAAATCCCTTCTGCAAATCCTACCCTTACTCCTGAGCCAAGAATGTGAGAATTTATGACCTTGAATTTTTACCCCTGGGTCAACCAAACCACCCACAAAACCTGAAAAAGGTTGTATGTACTCTATATTTTTTACTTGTATACAGTGTAGTTCCAAACCAAACTGGGACAAATTTGGACCTTGCACCTACTTAAGACTGGGGCTAATACAGCATGATTGATTGAATAGCCTTGCCTTGGATGAGTCTCTGGGAATTTATGGAATCTCAGGAGAGTAGGGGAGGGCATGGAGCTTTCCTATACACCAGGAAATCCTGATTTTGCTAAGAATTTAGTCAAAGCCTTGCTGATGTCAACTCCAAAGACATCGAGTTTCCTTGCAGTCACTGCTTGAGATTCGCTGAAGAATTGTGGCTGTTTGCCAGGATGTTTAATAGGAAGCTCCTTCCTTTGTGACATCACCAGGCAGGTAGCTAAGGGGACTGTTTGAGACACTCTTAGAACAACAGCCACTTTTGTGGGAGTGCAAGAACAGCTTTTAAAACTGAGGGTACATATTCAGGCTTCATTAGGATCCTGAATCCAAGCCAGCCGGTAAAATATGGGTTCTACCCAGAGGGGCACCACCTATCAAATGGTCAAGACAAATAAAACTGGGACTAAGGTAATAGTTTCAACACAGAAAGGGGCTGAGATAACCAGCACAACCCCTCATCAGGGACCTGGGTCCATTGCTGCCTCAACCCATCGAAGTGCTGTAATCACCATGAGCCCTCCTATCCATCGAAGATCAGAACCCGGGCATACCATCATTCCCAAAGACGATCATCGCTTTAGCCTCCCAGGAAGCAGCTTCACTGGAGCACCCATCTCTAGAGGAACTGAGAGTCGATCAAAATCAGACGCATGTCACCATTCCTCTCTTCACCGAAAGATCCAGCAAACTCAGCCATCAACTTCCTATGCTGTTCATGTGCAGCGGGCTAGTAGTCCTCACAAAGAGGAATCCCCACGAAAAAGGGCTGAGAGCAAGGGAGGGCAGGACTTGAATCATTACTCGACCACAAATGTCAAATCCTCTCGCCGGTTGAGTTTTGTAGACCAGAAGGATAATATACAAATCTTACCAGAAGACCCACCCTCCAAGGTCCAGAACCCACAAGGGGTCAGAGTTCCCCGTAGGCCTTTGGTTTGCCCAAAGGATGAAGCAGTCCAAACTGAGCCCACCAGAAAGAGCATAACTATTACTGCGAACAGATCTCCAAGGAAAGCCTCCAGCCCGGAACGCAGCTCTAGCCGCCCTTCTGCAGACCCTCGGACAGCTCAGAGAAGGACCCCGGACCAAGAGTCTGAGACGAATCATTACAGCCGCACCTATGCAGACCCTCGGACAGCTCAGAGAAGGATCCCTGACCAGGAGGCTGAGACGAATCATTACAGCCGCACCTATGCAGACCCTCGGACAGCTCAGAGAAGGATCCCTGACCAGGAGGCTGAGACGAATCATTACAGCCGCACCTATGCAGACCCTCGGACAGCTCAGAGAAGGATCCCTGACCAGGAGGCTGAGACGAATCATTACAGCCGCACCTATGCAGACCCTCGGACAGCTCAGAGAAGGATCTCTGACCAGGAGGCTGAGACGAATCATTACAGCCGCACCTATGCAGACCCTCGGACAGCTCAGAGAAGGATCCCTGACCAAGAGTCTGAGACGAATCATTACAGCCGCACCTATGCAGACCCTCGGACAGCTCAGAGAAGGATCTCTGACCAGGAGGCTGAGACGAATCATTACAGCCGCACCTATGCAGACCCTCGGACAGCTCAGAGAAGGACCCCGGACCAAGAGTCTGAAACGTATTATTACACCCACACTTACACAGACCCTCAGACAGCTCAGAGAAGGACCCCTGACCAAGAGTCTGAGACGAATTATTACAGCCGCACCTATGCAGACCCTCGGACAGCTCAGAGAAGGATCCCTGACCAGGAGTCTGAAACGAATTATTACAGCCGCACCTATGCAGACCCTCGGACAGCTCAGAGAAGGACCCCGGAGCAAGAGTCTGAGATGAATTATTACAGCCGCACCTATGCAGACCCTCGGACAGCTCAGAGAAGGACCCCGGACCAAGAGTCTGAGACGAATCATTACAGCTGCACCTATGCAGACCCTCGGACAGCTCAGAGAAGGATCCCTGACCAAGAGTCTGAGACAAATCTTTACAGCCGCACCTATGCAGACCCTCGGACAGCTCAGAGAAGGATCCCTGACCAAGATTATGAAACGGGTCACTACAACTCAATTTATATAGAACCCAAGCCCTTGCACAGGAACAAGAACGTGGAACCATCCCTCAGACTCTCTATCCTTAAAGATTTGGATGGTGGACACCGAGTTTCTATGCGTGAACCTATCCATAAGCAGTCTGTCCACACTGAAACGAAGCCCTCCCCAAAAGTCTTGATGTCATCAGAAGTGGAGGCCAACATGAAGTCCCCAGTGCGAGGAGATAACGAGGTCAGCCGCAGAGTCACCATATACTCAGGAGTACAGCCAGCCCACCATGTGACACCTCGGAGAGTGTCTGAGAGCCCCCACAAATCTCCTGAGCCTGTCAGTAAGCAGCGTACCCCAAAACCCTCAGAAAATGTCTACATGTCCCCAGCACCCTCCCCAAGTCACTCTGCTCATGCGAAAATGGAACTGACCCCTCGGCCCCTACCCCCTCGGTCCTTACCTAAATATGGGCCTGACTGCTCATGGTGGCCCTTACTCAATCCTGACATTGAAATGCCTCAAAGCCGGCCAACAACACCTGATTTGGAGCCTAAATCCCCGCTTCCTGCAGACTATTCATTGTCCTTTTTTGAAATGGACTCAAGCCCTTTCTGTGACGATCTGCTGCTCCAGCGAGAGAAGGCAAGTCCATCACCACCACCAGCACCAGCAACATCACCACCACCACCACCACCACCACCACCACCACCACTACAATCAGCAACGGAGCCTCCAAGCTGGGCACCATTGAGGGAAGTGCCACAGGCTCCCAAGCACACCTCCAAACAACCCATTCAAAGGTTTAGTGCTTTCTTCTTGGGTATGTGAAGAAGCAGACTGCCCAGGTGCAACCCCGATTTAGTGAGGTGGGACATGGCAGGGAAGGCCCCCTTTTCATTCTGGGCCTTAGAGCTACTCTCCTGCCAGTGCCAAAGCTAGACCCATCCTTGAGCCCATTGCTCCATTCCTTCCCCGCCAGCTTCTCTGAGCTCCAAGCTAATGACATCGATGACGATGCTTGGGTCGGCGTCAGGCATTGACTCTTCCAGGCAACGCGCTTAACCTTTCAATGGAAGGTAGTAGAGAGTGGTTTGCAGGGTGGGGAAGCTGCTTCCTGAGAGTGGACATGAAGTACTCAGTTGGGGTGAGGGCTGGTAAGACCTAGTAAAGAGAATAAGGTCCTCTAGTAAATATCCTGGAAACAAAGGTGAGGCATAGATGAGCCTTCCAAGAGGGGCAAGGCATTAACAGTGACACAGAGGCTGGGAGAAAAGGGAGAGGGAGAGTGGGAGTGTGACGTTTAGTCCTAGACAGGAGGAGCTTCTTGGAGAGCTCCTTCTTCTTGGTGGAGAAATGTGGAGCTAGAAAGGGAGATGTGAAGTAGCGAGGGGCAGGGAGTGTGCATCCCACAGAGAGAGAGACAGAGACAGAGACAGAGAGACAGAGAGAGAGAGAAAACATACCAATCTCTGTTACTTTCAGATGTCTCTGAGGAAATGTTCAATCGTGTCATCTGGTGGCTAAAAGGTCTGTGCTTTTCCCTCCCATGGTTTATTGTGGGGGTTTGGGGGGCAGGAGGACAGGTCGGAGGGTAGCCTTGATGTATGTACAGAGCTAGGTCTGTTAGGACATGGTGCATGCTGGGGCTTTGACTTGAAGGAACAGAGGAACTTCTTATCTTGTCACCATTAGTTATTCCTTTGGGACTTGGAACCTTTTTCATGATCAAGAGTTTCCTTATAATGGGAAGTAGTCACTGGAGAATAGTAGGCATGGAGATGTAAGCCCATGGCCTGTCAGCTTAGCTGATGTTACCTATCATGTGATAAAGAAACAAACCCCCCCAAAAAACAACTTGCCTGCTTCACAGTCTAACTCAGGGCTGACCCCACACTGATTCAGGTTGGGGGTCTCCTCATGTGTATCTCTGGTTCCTCAGAACCCTATTCACAGCCCTATTCCAGGGCCTGGGAGGTCCTTATTGGCTGCTGCCCAGAAGGATCTCCAGGGATGTCTGGGTTTCGCCTTGAGGGGTCAGTGGGTCCTACAGCCAACTTTAAAGTCCTAAGAGAAGTGCCTTTAGGGCCTGTGACCCTCCTGACTCCCCTTGTATCTTGACTTCTGTGGTGGGAGGGAACGTAAGGACCAGCCCTTAAACGTGAATCTTAGTGGCAAGGAGTTTCTGCTACAAGGATTGTGGTCCAAAATATGCTCCAGCCCCATGAGCATGAGGGAGGCCAGGGCTCTGAATCAGGAAGTTACTAGGGAAGAGAGAGCCCTGGAAATGCAGTGCGATACCAACCAGCATGAGCCCTCAGCAGAGAAGGGCAGCCCTGCCTCACAGCAAAGCTCCGTGAAGTAAAGGTTTAGTAGAGTATGGATTCTGGAGTCATATTATTGGGTTTGAGCCCCGTGCCCACTATTTCCTTTTTTTAATCTTGATTGTTGAAAGTATTATATATGTCCCCTTTCCCCCCATTAACCTCTCCCCCTCCCTCCCAACAACTATTTTCTAACTACGACATTGGGTAAGTATTTGACCTCTCTAATCATTCCTTTTCCCCATCTGTTAATGGGAACAATGGCTTCCTTTTAGAGTTCTTATGAAGACTGGCCAAGCTATGACATGTAAAACACTTAGTGTGGTATGGTGCCTGGCAATGGTGAGCACTCAGCAAATGCTAGCTGTTGTCATTTGGGCCACTTGCACTAGGAAGGGACTTGGGCCAGGTAATGACCGAGTCCTCTGCACATCCTCAGTAAAATTCTCTTTTTCCCTTCCTGTTGGCACTCTCTGATTTCCATTTGCTGCCCACTGGGAATGCCTGGCCTCTACATCTTCATTATGACAGATGAGGAGGTAAGAATGCCCCTAGGAAGTTACTTTTGGTAACTTCCTGTGCTCTCCCTACCCAAGTCCCTGCCTTACCCTCTAATGAAAGCTGCTCCCTATTGTTGGTCAGGTGTTTGCTGCACAAGGCCACCTGGCAGAGCAGGCAAGTGGGGGCTAAAATCTAGCCTGCATTCCACTTGCCAAGTTGTGCTCCTCCAGGGCTGCATCTCCCCAGAGGGGAATTTACAGCCCTGGAGAGAAAGGGTAGAAACCTGCTGGCAAGTGTTGAATCCTGCCAAGCGTCCTGTGGGAAGGCTGTCTGGGAAGCCATAGGTTGAATTGGTCCCTACTTGGCTCTCCCCTCTCCAGCCTAGGGCACTCCAGAAACGGGACGCTTTTCTGGGTTACACACTGTTTGAGTCCTCACCTTGGAGAGCCACAAGGTGAACTCTGCTCTCAGCAGCCCTGTGTCCTGAATTTGGCAGTGTCCTGATTTCATAGTGCATTGCTCCCTTAAGTACTTTAGTTCTTCTTGGCCCAATGTTTGATAAGATAGTCTAAGCTCTTCTTACCTCCATTCTCTCTCATCTCTCTCTCTTCCCCAAAGCCTAGCATGACCTCTAATGGGTCTCATCTATGGGCTAGCCCAGGATGGACACTTGACTACTACATATGAAGAACAAGTCGGGGGAGGGGCAGGACAGTCTGAGCTCAGATAACGGAACAGCTGCAGCGGAGGTGCCAGAAATGTGGCTGCCACCCCCTCTGCCATGGCTTCTTATCCAGTCCTACTCCCTGAGCTCAGCTCTGGGTGGGAGCAGCTACTTTTAGAGATTATTTCAATGCAAGACAGTAAATCCTTCTCTTCCTCCCTTTCTCTCTCCCTTCCTTCCACAAACAATTTTTATTCAGATGCCTAGCACTCTTCTAGGCACTATTGGGGGAAGCGTTGAAGCCCCATAGCACACACATTCTTTGGCCTTGAAAAACTTACCATCTGGATGGGGAGATAAGAGGTGGACAGGAAACAACAATATGAAATAGTCTGCACTCAAATGTCCAAGTCAATGCAACAGACTTAATAGAGGCTCTTGGATGGTCTTAGGAGAGAGGGAGTGAGCCGGGAATTGGATGGGGTCAGGTTTCCCCCCTCCTTCCCAAAGTCAGGAGGGGCGGTATCTCGACAGCTAACCCCTTGCTCACCCCTTGATGCAGATCTATACCTTTGGGAAGGGGTATTTCCTCTATTTCAGGATATGATGTTTTTGATTGAGCAAGTTCCTCCCTATTCTGCCCCATCTTGTTTTAGTTTAGGAAGTCAAATGCCTTGGCAGCAGGACAGCTCCTTCCCAAAATAGCTCTTATCCTGTCTGGATAATTGCAGCTCTCTAGCCCTGTGCAGTAGCAGAGCTGCTCCCCAGAAGCTGGGAAGAGAAGACGCGCAGGCAGCTAGGCCTGCCAGTCTTCCTGGCTCTCTGGGAGTGGAGTGGCATGGAGGTGGGCCAGGTACTGTGCCCACAAAGTGAGAGAGCTAGGTCTTCCCCAGCCTGCCTCTGAAGCTGCAGGGCCACAGGTGGTCCTGTCAGATGGAGACTCTGGGGTGCTGGTGTCCAAGGCTCTCTGTTTACTCTGATCTGGGAATGGTTGACGGTAGAGTCTGGTCCAGATTCCATTCCCAGCCAGGAATTCTCTCATGGCCCAGCCACAGCGCCTGGCCTGGCTCGTGGACTGCAGCATGTCTATTTCCGAGCTTTACAGGGTCTGCAGCTGGGAATGGAGCACGAATCAGCCCATCTCTGTGTGTCAGTTTCCTTCCAAACTCCTCAAGACCCTCTTGTCTAAGGGGTGGGGTGGACAGATGTTTCTCATCCTTGGATTGGGACATTAGGGGCTGGAATCTTCCCAGAGGTGATTATGCTGGACTGAGGGACACGTTCCTGATAGTTTTTGTTTTGTAAGTATATTTTTATTGGTTTCAGAGAGGAAGGAAGAGGGAGAGAGAGAGATAGAGACATCAATGATGAGAGAGAATCATTGATTGGTTGCCTCCTGCATACCCCCTACTGGGGATCAAGCCCAAAACCCAGACATGTGCCCTTGACTGGAATAGAACCTGAGACCCTTCAATCCGCAGGCTGTCGCTCTATCCACTAAGTCAAACCGGCTAGGGCCTGATGGTTTTTTTGTTTGTTAGTTGTTGTTTTTCATAGCAGAACTAGCCAAAGCTCAATAGGGAGGTCCTTAGGGTGCCCTATGGGGTCAGTAGGAGCTGTCTTCTCACACAGCCCTGGGGAATTCTATGGAATAAAATAGCTCTTGATGGGATGGGGCTACCCTGGCCCCAAGAGCCTGTGTCCTCAAGCCACATAACCTACTTGCCCTTGGATGTGACTTCCCAGGCTGTCCGTGGACAAGGTGTTTTACTCCCTGCTATATCTATCAATTATGGAAGAAACCAACTCTGGAAAATAGGCCAGAAACTAGAGGAGGCCATCTCAGTGATACCTAAGGCAGACTTCAGTATCTTCAGGGTGACATGTCACTTAGCCCCTGGGAGATGGGACAGCCAGGTTCCTGTTGGCTCCTGAGCCACAGGGATGATTTGCTCATGTAGATTTCCTAGACAAAATTCCAGAGCCCAGGAGGAACACAGAGAGGCTCTGCATTCATGGGGATGTTAACAGAATCCTAGGGTATGAGCTGTCAGAAAGGAACCCTGGAGCCCTAGCTGGTTTGGCTCAGTGGATAGAGTGTCGGCTTGCAGACTGAAGGGTCCTGGGTTCCATTCTAGTCAAGGGCATATGCCTGCATCGTGGGCTCGATCCCCAGTTGGTGTGCAGGAGGCAGCCAATTGATGATTCTCTCTTATCATTGATGTTCCTATCTCTCTCCCTCTTCCTTCCTCTCTGAAATCAATAAACTTTTTTTTTTTTTTTTTAAAAGAAAGGAAACCTGGAACCATCTCTCCCACTTTTCTCATTTTCTCTTGCTTTGTACAGAGACTGGTAGTTGAGAGGAAAGGGAATTGTTAAAAGAATGAAGCAGAGATGCTGGAAATGGGACAGGGCACCTCAGGAGGCATTTCATAGCAGCTTGACCCTCACCGCACAGCTGCTTTTCCTGTCAGATGGTACCTCGTTCAAGTCCAGAGCAGGATAGGAGGCTGATGATCTCTAGCCCAGACTTGCTATTTTGAGGACAGGCTAAGTTGACCAACTCATCAGGGTTTACCCAGGACTTTCCTAATTCCAGCATGGAAAGTGCTGCATCCTGAGAACTCCCTCAGCCCTGGGCAAACTGGGGCAACTGGTCACCCCAGGACAGGCTGGGATGCACCTGGAAGTTCAGGGCAGAGGGATACCGTCCTGCCGGTCGCCTGAGACCTGGGCAGATTGCGACCTATAAATGGGGGCGGGAAAATGCTATGCCTCCTTCTCAGGCTTGATGGCAGAACTGAGGCCAGAATCCCTTAGTTTTCTGTTCTGCCCAGTATAGTCCCACATAGGGAAGAAGCTGCCACATCCACTGTGGGCTTTCTGTTGTATTTCCAGAAGCTACTCGCTTCTCTGCCTGGAACCCATCTCCTATACTATGTCTTTCTGTCGGAGAAGTCTCATAATGTTTTTTTCTTTTTCAAGTAAGAGAAGAAACGGGAGGTGGGGTGCTGGCTAGATTAGGGAGCTTGGTTTCCGAGGGCAGAGTGCACACGTGGGTGAGGAAGCCAATCTATAACCCAGAAGCCACCCTGACAGCTGCTCAGCC